CCTGTGGGGGAACTAGGCCAAACTCCCCTTGCCAGGCCTCACCCTCATTGCAGGCCGAAGCAGAGGCCCCGTGCACGTGGTGGCAGCCAAAATGGCCGCCGAAGCTCCGTGCGTGGGAGAGAGGTCACAAACGACCCAAGCGGCTCAGCTGGGCTTCCAGGGGCCGGCACTGCACAAAGTACAGTCGGGGAGAGCCAAGTACAGTACGTGGCACCCAAGCACACTCTCCTCACCCCCGCTTGTCCCCCTCAACAGCAAGGCAAAAACCGGCAGAGCGGCAACCGCCCGGAGTGATCGGCGGTTCCGCAGGTAGTTTGTGTGCTCCAAGTGGCGCCGAAGCCGCTTTCACCCCGACTCTGAAAGGCAGACCTGCTCCTTTTGCAGCTGAAACCTGGAGCTGGCACCCCCACAATCCCAGGGATAGGGCTGAGGCTCCGGGCCCACGGGGGGGGAGGCTAAAACGCCCCACAGGGCCCTCCCCAACCGCCCAAGGCAGAGAACTGTCCCTTGGGGCCGCAGCTGCACAATTTAGAATTTAGGAAAACTTTTAGAGTGCCCAATTAAGCGAAATGAAAGACCAGATTGAAATAAACAGAATCTTACCATGGAATATTCTCAACAGTACTTGGACCAAAAAAGACTGAGAGGAATTGGAAGGCACCAGTATTTAAGTGTTTGCTCTCAGTCTTTGGACCAATCAGGCTTTGAGAATACCCACATGTGACCACTCCCTCCCTTCCTCTGGAAAAAATGAAATTAACTTATAATTCATCATTTTGGAGCATCCAATGTAAACCAGAGTTTATAGAGTCTATATAGATATAAATGTTATAGCTATTTATTGCTCTTCTGCAACAATGTGGCCTTAGCTGTGTGGTCTATCTTTTCTAAATAAGGAATTTTCTGAATTTGTAATTTTCTGGAACAAGAAACAATAAATATATTTGAACAGTAATAATTTATATCAATTACTATAACATCTGCTCTTTAAAATAAGTGACAGAAATATGAGCTGATAATTTCAAATGTCCACTATCAGATACCTTTTAATCACCCTTTCCTAATCTTGATGATCAATCAAGAGGAACAAAATATCTCTCAGAATCTTCTCTGTTTGATTCTGTTTAAATTAATAGTCATAGTCATTTCTTACCATTTTGAAATGGGAACATTGTAGGTTAAATCCTAAGAAAGAAAACCTAGAAATATCACTCGTCCTTTCATAAAAACCTTTTAATTAATCCTTGAATTAAACATAATCCATTCCTGGTTTAGACCCAA